TATATATATATATATATATATATATATATATATATATTATTAGCCTTGGATTTATAATATAATTCAATGAAAGGATTCTAATGAACTCCTTGCCCCACCTAGCTCAGCTGATGAGTGCGACCAAACTTATACGTAACCTTCAAGCTTCAACATATCTTTGTTTTTCCCGGGTTTCTCATTAGGTGTATGGTATCCGCATGGGAGTCCGACTAATTTGGATTTGTGTCACTTAAGGTCTCATTTGAAGAGAAGTGCTCCCTATAATAAAAAAGTTAATATTCAAAACTCAAATCTGAAACATTTGATTATAAAATGAACAGTTTCATCACCCTATCAACACGTAGATAATCCATTACAGCGAAAACAAACAAGATTTCAGTTATTCCATCTACTACTAGTACTATCAAATTTTTTAATTCAAATTAATAAAAAGAAAGTACCGGGAAAGAGATAAAAGTGGTACTCCGTAGTCCGTACGTACAACCAATATTAAGTTAATGAAATTGTATCAATCGACTGACTAAATAGATATATCCTAAAGTCAATAACATGAATATATCACATACTTCCTCCGTCTCAAATTATTTATCACGATTCTCGCTTTTACACATCTTCAAGAAACATTAATTAAGAGGCTATTTTAACTATTTTACAACAATTTTGTCTTCTTAAATTTCTAAAACGATATTAATTTGTGATAAATAATTTTAAAAATTATGACAGATAATTTGAGACGGAGAGTATATGTATATGATTAGCTGCTGATCGGATAATCACCGACGAATTGCAATTAAAACAGATTCTGCATAAACGGTGACATGTGATCTTGCTTTCTTCTTGTCTATTTTCAACCCTTTTTTAAACAAACTTTTACGTACATTTCCGTATAATAAAAAGAAAAAACGCGCATTGTTTTGAACTTTCTCAAAAATGAATAACAATAATAATAATAATTAATTTTTAAGATTCTTAGTATTGATGGTTTAGTTAAACTCATTTTATTTTTAAAATTATAGGATCAAACCTAAAATTCTTACGCATATTTATGTTTTGTTTTGCCTAAAAAAAATGAAAATTTGAGAAATCAGACTATGTCACAACGAAACGAAAGGAGGAGATAAAGGGGTGAATGATATTATGTAGAAGCATTTTCGGGGATTTAGAATAAGAAATGCTAATTATACTAATTAAACAATTAGTAGTGCTAATCATTTTTGCTAATTCACAGTTTTTGTAAGATGAATAATTAAGTTTGTATTATAAGTAATCACCGACAACCGCGTATTTCTTATTACTGCTACTCTGTAGTAAGCATTAATTATTTGTTTGAAAAATTATAGAATCCTAAAGTCTATAAAATAGGCACGTTCATTCATGCACTAATATATCTACTCATTATCTTCACTTCAATTCCAAGAAATATTAATACATTATATTCTTTGTTCCATTTTGAAAATTTCAAGGTTAATTATGGAGAAATTTGTTCCTAATATTTCGATTTGGAGGTTTGTTTTGTTGTTTACTACTTGTAATTTGTTTATTGAGGAGATTAATGCACAAAATTGGCTTAATGGTCGTGCTACTTTTTATGGAGTCAATCAAGATCCTAGCACCTTTGGTAAGCACCTCGTTAAATTAAATATCACTTCTCTATGATACCAATTATTGCTTTATTGAATTCGTTTCACTAACAGAACTCACGTTTCGACTTTGAGTAGTTGCATGAAACATGTTTCATTATCATGAAATTATTGTAGGCCAAACATTCATATTGGCGTGTAGGATGCACCTTGTCTCACCCTCACAGTCTTGGGTGATTCTTGTTGATGTTGAGCTAGCTTTTATAGCTGAATTAAGATTAAGATCGGTTTCTTATTAAGAAACAACATAATTATTTTGTTTTTAGAATGAACCGGTTAAAAACATATAGTTTACTTTATGTTATTGAAAAATGGACGTGTTGAGTCAAAATATGAATAGGTCAAAACAAGCTAAGGCATCAAACTATGAACATGTCACATGTGACCTCATTTGTTCAAAAGTTTTACTCATGCCATATTGATTGTCATGGATCGATCAATAAAAGGTCATAATTCAATTTGTTCAACATGATCCAACTTCATTTTTCATTTTAATTTTTTTGTAATTTTGTATATTTGGGTTGAATTTTCATAACATGTCATTTACTCTATTTGACTCATCGATATTATAACATGTGTCGAGTTCAATCTACTAGATCATGAGTCATAACTCAATCCGTCTAACCTAAACACATGTTGAATATTCTTCTATTCTTCCCACATATGATAAATATTATTTCATTAAACGTACCAAGAAGTACAAACTATAATAAGCTTATAGTAATTAATTCCTAACTAATTAAAATTGGTCATTAGGTGGAGCTTGTGGTTACGATAACCCTTATCATGCCGGATTTGGAGTAAACACAGCGGCATTAAGTAGTGCCTTATTCAGAAATGGACAAGCATGTGGAGCTTGCTACACAGTGAGATGCAACCGCCAGCTCGATCGCAAGTGGTGCCTCCCACATGGGGCCGTCACAGTGACGGCCACCAACTTCTGCCCTCCAAATAATCACGGAGGGTGGTGTGATGCACCACGTCAACATTTTGACATGTCTATGCCCGCTTTCCTTCGCATTGCTAGACAAGGCAATGAAGGCGTTGTTCCCATTCTCTACACCAGGTATATATATATATATACCGCGTTCTTATATATGATTTTTTTTTTAAAAACCAATTATAATCAGTGACGTACACAAAATTTGTCAAATCTTTTTAGGGATTTACTTTTTTTTCGATTTAACTATACCTTTATTATGGACGTTTTAGTTAATAAAAGTCAAACTCCCTTTTTTTTAATGAATAAATCATGATGCTACGTACATTGTAACTTGTAAGGCTGAAGAAAACGAAAAGACAACATATGTAGAAAAAGAATAATTAGCATGTGAGCAACTTGCTTCTTGTCCAAGAATAAAGCCTCTACATTAAGAATCACACTACAACAAGATCAAACAACTTTTGTATATATTTGTAATATATATAATATATAACACCTTTTGGCACGTTTACTTTATATATTCAATAGAATCGTAACTAAAATTTTGAATTTATGAATTCTCGATTTTAAAAACGATAACTTATTGAATTATATATGGATAAAATATTCATCATTTGACCAGATATAATTAACTGTTACGTATAACGAAATGATGTTATATCAATGATTGTTAATAATATAATATGTTGTTGTAGAGAGGTTTTATTGTACATGTATATTAATTGGATTCATTTTAAACACAAATACAAGATCTGTGTCGAATTAAAACTCAATGCTATTGAATTCTTTTAAATCGTAAGCAGAACTTTAACTCCGCCCTTAATATATATATAAGATTTAATTTAATTTTGCAGGGTGGCATGTAAGAGGAGTGGAGGAGTACGTTTCACATTAAAAGGACAATCAAATTTCAACATGGTGATGATATCTAATGTTGGAGGTAGTGGTGATATTAAGAGTGTTTCCATTAGAGGCTCAAGAACAAAAACTTGGCTTCCAATGTATAGAAATTGGGGTGTCAATTGGCAAAGTCGAAACGATCTTCGATCACAAACGTTGTCGTTTAGAGTCACATTGGTTGATGGTAAGACGATGGAATTCATCAACGTTGTACCTTCTGCATGGAAATTTGGACAAACTTTCGCCTCACGCAGACAGTTTAATTAATTAATTAAAGTATTAAACCTAAACAGAAAGTATACTTTTAAATTTATATTTAACCTACATCATGTTCATGACCTGAGATTTTTTTAGATGGTTCATGGACATGCTAGTAAGTTAATAAAAAAATACTAATTAAATTGTATTGTTTTTTTTTACGTTTTATTTTTGCATGACGATTTCATAATTGGAATTAGTCGATACGATGAATAATGTTCATGATTTATTTTTTTAATGTATTATGTATCACGATGTAATTGTTATGCTCTAGAATTTTGAGAGCATGACAAGCTTAATATATTTTACTAATTTTAATAATAAATGTATTCTCATGAATGAGCTGAGAAAAAAATATATGTTGGTGTTTTTTTTTTCTCGTTTCCAAAAATATGATGCCTCTAAAGATATTAGGATCTGTATGTAATATCACAAATATAAGTTCTTACTTATATATAAAAAATAAAATAATAATTCACAAGTTGATGATTTTGTAAAAAAAAATTTAGAGATAAAGTACCCGCACAATATGTAAACAAATAATTATAATGTAAATTGTAAAACACACCTTCGTCAATTCACTAATGCATAAGGGAAAGTAGATGTGAATAGAACAAATTACTGAAATAGGTAAAAGAATCTAAACAAAAAGCATACATATTTTTGAAGTTTTATTTTACATTATACATAATATAGAGTCAAGTTTTTTTTTTCACTGGTTTTCGATATCGACATTGGAGCCCGATTATTCTGGATTTACACCACATAGGACCCCATACGAGGGGAAACACTATTAAAGAGTTTGTCATACCCAAGATTCGAACCCGAGACCTTTTATTAAGAAAGGAACAGTTTCATCCGCTGCACCACATCCGGTAATAGTGAGTATAGTTGCATAAATTAGTAATGTTATTTAATGGAACCACTTAATTGAATAGTTTGTAACTATACTCTTCTTCACTATTTTATTTGTATTTTTATTATAAAGAAATGGTCCAAAATAATTGTCATTTTAGAAAATCAAGGTCTAGTTGATTACATTATTTTTTTCATTTTGTCAATACTAATAGTTATTCTTGGAAGTACTAATAAACATTGACTAATTAGCCTAGAAAAACACAAGTGAAGTGTACATACACATTACACATACTTTAATATTGTGATTGCTTAGATTGATTTCCTTTAATTTTTACATTTATATATATTAGAGAGAGATTAAAGACATCTTACTTATTGAAGAGAGATTAACATTTTAACTGATTAAAGCTAATAAAATAAAGGGACGTAATTTTTTCAAGGGCATGTATACAAAAAATGTGACAAGTAAAGTGGGTTGGAGAGAATAACAAACAATATTGTTGATTAATTAACATCCAATGAAATTCAATAAATATGGCCCAATATGATTGGTCGTGTATTTAGGAAATTTAAGGCAAAAATAAGACCAGATATTGTATTTTATTCAAGAAACATAAAAAAAACATAAATTATGAAATTTCTAATCAAATAATTATATTTATTTGAGAAAAAAACATTATATGTAACAAGATATTTTTTTAATTAATATGATAATTAACTAGTAGGAATACATTCTTTAATATTGTTCAAGATAAATTCATATAATGTGGAATACTGATCAAAATTTACTTGTTTGATTTATAAAGTGTCTGACAATAAAATTTGAAGCAATATTCGAATCACTAGTAACGGGAGCCCATTTCACACATTCTTTTGTCACATCACCTAGTCCTCTATTTATATATTTCAAATAAAATGGTGCAACAAATGATTTATTTGTAATTTGATTCATCCTTTAGGTCGATTTATCAATGTAACTTTTCATGACTAATATCCTAGAGAATTTACCATATTGTCGACCTAAATATGTGGTGACGTTGTTCATTTTCTCTAAATCTTGAATAGCCTTTAAAGTGCAATTTTGAAGCACTATTCCAATTGAAGTGTCCTCAAGCTTTCCGTTGTGCTGTAATTGTATCATATATACTATGGACATTGAATGTGTACTTCAATTAAGCAGTTTGAAAATATAGTCATCACATCGATCACCACAAATAAAATCTATTGTATCGTATATTTCACAATCTCGATAGAATTTACGATACCTTTACATATATTGATATCCGTCAAAATGACATTTATAGAAAAAAGCCAAATTTGTTTGTACTCTTAATGTCAATACCTAATGCTTTTACGGTCAATCGTCATTTCTAAAGGTGATGTGTTCGATTGTGAAATCATACTCAAGGATCACTACAAATTAAATAAAAATAACAAATATATTCTACAATTAAAATAACTCTCAATATTATAGATGCACCCACTGTTGTAGTGTCATACATTTTGTTGCCATCACCGAAGCTTCTATTGGCTGTTATTATGGTTGTATCCATTTCTTATCCGATGAGGACTGGTTTTTTTAAATCAACTTGAATGTATTTTTGATGTGTGTCTTGTTAATCTTAATACAATATTGCTCGACACTACGATTCACTATCTTGTTGTCAGTACTCAGTACTAATCATCTTTTATCTTCTTTATTCTATATATTGCAGAAGAAAAAAAAACACAAGACTATGGAGTCAAATTTATTCTCTAATGTTATGCCTTGTGCTTCTATAGTTTGATATATAGCCAACACATCAAGTAATATGGGTTGGTGCCAGAAATAGTACTCTAATCCCTTTAACTAAATTTCTATTAGCATTTGAATTTCTTGTGTAAATTTCTATAATTATGCTATATCTGAAATTTAATATATATTTAATGATTTGTTTCACGTTACAATCAGTTTACAGAGATTGAAGCATGATCAATTAGTTTATAAAGATAGTCAAATCTGCATGAAACATGAAATTATCATGTTTGATTATCTCAATAATAAATCTACTAAAGCTAAATAACATGCTAATAACATTATAAATCATAGGCATGTGGGTCGCACGGGCACACCCCATCTAGTGTATAATATAAGATAAATACAATTATACTACTAAACTTAATATAACTAGTTGATAATTAAACATAAAAATGTACCTAAATGACTTTTTGAAATTATTACATCGGGTCTAGCTCTACTTCAAATAATCGATCAAGAGTTTTATGGAGACAGGGAGATTAAGTTGCCTTAATCAATTACTGAAAGGATTATAATTGTTTGTTAATTATTAATTGACATAAGATATACGTGCGACACACGAAATACACATATGATGCACATGTGATACATGAATTGACGTGTGACAGATGAAATGCACATATAATGCACATGTAATACACGAAATGCACATGTGACACACAAAATGCACGTGTGATGCACGATATACACGTGTGATGCACGAGATGCACATGCGATACACAAAATGCACATGTGATGCACGAAATACACATGCGACAGTATGCATATACTAATTGTATTCAATATACTTGAGACATTTACTTAAGCATTGTCTTTAGGCCCCTAATTTTATTAACTCGCCTTGATTGTTTGGTTGTTTGTTAGAGTTATGTAGATATTAAAAATGTATACTCTGTCTGTCCATTTTAATTGTCATGGTTTCATTTTAGAGTCAAATGATATAACTTTGACTGACATTTTACGATGTGATTTTTCATCATATTGATTGTAAAAAATAGCAATTTATAGTATTTTTCGTATAGTATTTGAATATCTAATTTTGTTTAAAATATCGAATTAATGAAATCCAATTTAACTTTAAAAATTAGTCAAAATTGACTTTTGAAAAACACAACATGACAATTAAAAGTGGACGAATGAAGTAGTTATGTATGTATTAATTAGTAACACGAGAATTAGTTACACATTTATTCTCCATTTGAATTTTTAACTGATATGATTAAATTGCCTAGTTTAGTGAAAACGCTAAAGATCGTTTGGTAACTAGTAAAGAGACTGAAATTTTTTATTATGGTAGAGGCCCAACCAACCAAAGTTGTGTGAGGCTCCACCCATTTTTTGACATGTGGATCGTGGGGCCCAAGCTATCATTTAAGGCTGAAAAATGAAATCAAAAGGAGAGAGAATGTAAAGTTTGAGTGGGAATTGCAAGACAATTGTGAGATTTACGTCAACTTCAATTAAATAAATTAAAATATTATATTGAAAGTGGAAAAGTGCATAGTAAAAAAGGTAGGAAGGGAATAAAAAGTCATATTATTAGCTGATCAATATTTTTATTTTCTATTTTATATCTACATTTATTAACGTGTTGAATTGAATATCTATTAAAAAATATTATTCTTATATTGAAATTTGTTTATACTCTATTTTCTTTAAACTCACGTTACTTTTAATAATAGTTCTATATTACAAGATAAGATAACATTTGTGTATATTTTATTGTCTTCAAACTAATTTACTATTAACGTCAAATACCAAATTGAAGACAATAAAATATTTTAGTTTATTTAATTGAAGACAATAAAATATTATATCAATCGGAAGTTATGCCTGAGGATAAGTTAGAATAATATTGATCCTCGTGAAGAAAAGGAAAAAAACTAACAGTCCTTATGTTACTATTCACCATCTGGCATCTTTATATTACGATTATTTACTTAAAAATAATATTCTTTGGGTACAAGATTAAAGCCGTTTAACCAAACGACCTAGTTAAGGGTGATTTGCAAAAATACTGTAAAAAAACTTGTCAAGTTACAAATTGTTCACAAGTTCACATCACCAAAATTTGCACACAAATTAAATAATATTTTAATATAATATTTTATTGTCTTCAATTAAATAAACTAAAAAAAATTTATTGGCTTCAATTTGGTATTTAACGTTAATAGTAAATTAGTTTGAAGACAATAAAGTATACACAAATTTTATCTTATCTTGTAATATAGAATTATTTTTAAAAGCAACGTGAGTTTAAAGAAAATAGAGTTTAAACAAATTTCAATATAAGAATAATATTTTTTAATAGATATTCAATTCAACACGTTAAATAAATGTGGATATAAAATAGAAAATAAAAATATTGATCAGCTAATAATATGACTTTTTATTCCCTTCCTTACCTTTTTTACAGTGCACTTTTTTACTTTCAATATAATATTTTAATTTATTTAATTGAAATTGACGTGGACCCTACAATTGTCTTGCAATTCCC